TATTTGACAGAGAGAGACACAGCGAGAGAGGGAACACAAGCAGGGGGAGTGGGAGAGGGAGAAGCAGGCTTCCCACCGAGCAGGGAGCCCGACGCGGGACCCGATCCCAGGACCCTGGGATCATGACCTGAGCCGAAGGCAGACGCTTCACCATCTGAGCCACCCAGGCGCCCCACGTTTTTGATTTTTATTATTTGTTTGAAAACATTACCAATTCTAGCCTCACCCTCCATCAGCTCTGCATCTAGTCCTCTTTTGCCTCCCCTCATGTGATCGTAATCCTCTGTCCTCCTGAAGGGACTGGGACGGAACTGTGGACATACAGCGGATCTCACACGGATGGTGACTGCAGGGCTTGGGGCTATGTTTCACGCTGGGGTGGCAAGATTGAGGTCAATGCCCACCCCCCCAACCTTTCCCTGGCTCCCCAAGAGAGAGCCCATCAGTGCTCTGGCCTCCTACCAACACCTCTGTTGTTTTCCCACCCGGCCCTCACCGGTGGGTGTTCTCATTTGTCTCTCTCTTTCTCCTTGCCTTCTATCCCAGGGGTCCACCACGCTGCCTGGCACATAGTAGGTGCTCAGTAAATGTGTGGCACATCCATGAGAGGATGCAGGATGAAGAAAAGTCCCTGTCACTGCTGTTTGTCCCACCGGACTAATGGCAGCACGATGCACTTTGATAGGACGTTGTTTTCCACCTTTGTACTCCTTCTTCCGTCTGGGCCTCCCTCCCTCTGCCTTCTGACTCCTGCGGCCCCATCCTGGGCCACCGCCTGGGGTGTCCAGGTGGGAGGAAGTGATGCCTCCATCCCAAACTTCCCAAACCATGGCAGCTCACACCAAATGGTGTCATGGCTGTGTGCCTGGAGGGGGCTCAGGCTGGCATGCTCTGGGAGGCTGAAGGCTTTGTGCACTGTGGGTCCCCTTTTACATGGGGTCAGTCTCCCCAAGACAGTCTCAGAGGCCAAGGGTAGGGCCCTGCTGGGCTTCGGAGGGGTGGGGAGAGCTCAGGCATCCACGTGGGCCTGTCACTCGGGCAGCAGGACTGGAAAGGACACTGTAGGTGTGGGTGGCAGCGAGCTGGTGGCCGGAGTCCTTTGCTTGCTTTGCTATGGGGGGCCAGGGTGGAACCATCCGAGTTTGAAGAGCCTCACTCAGAGACCCTCTGCAGCAGGGGGCCACTGCCAACTGGTCTTTTGCGGTCAGAAGAATAGAATCTATTTTTTCGATCCTTTCCCGTCCCTCTGAATGTGGAGGTGGTGGCGACTGGGGAGGCAGCCACGAACCTGCTCATCTGTCCAGGACACACCTCTGCCACTTCTTTGGGGGACTGTTCCTCCTCAGCTCACGCTGCCAAGTGGTTGTGTAGGAAACTGTCAATCACACCCACCGCCGTGAGGCCACGTGACCAAGGAGAGCCAATCAGAGTACCCCAGGTCCGGGCCGCAATGGTTGGTCCAGGGCTGGACACATGACCCGAGCTGGGCCAATCAGAGCCCTGCGTGGTACTAAGCTGCTCTCTAGGGTTTCTTCCTTTCTATTTGCATCTCTTAAGGCTAGAAAGCCCTGAGGCGGGCAGCAGCAAGGTCCTTCGGCCCTCGGCCCTCGTAGAAGACTGAGGAAAGAAACTTGCCAGGCGAAGAGGATCAAAGATGAGAGAAGCGAAAGAGGGAGGGAGAGAAAGAATGAGCTGACGGCTTTTGATTTCTTGGGTCACCGAGCCCTCTGGACCTGCTCTGGTTCCTGCATCCTGGGTCCCCAGTAGCCTTCCAGTAGTTTCCCTCTTCACTGAAGCCAGCTGGCCTTGGGCTTCTCTCACGGGTCGTCCAGACTCGATTCTGGAGTCCTGCCTGATTCTGATGCAACCCCCCCCCCCATGCAAAGAGAGGCGCTGGTTCATTTCAGCACCATGGAAAATGAGGTCTTTTATTCTCTACCGAGAGCAGGCTTTACAGAGCCCCAGACAGAGTTCAGGATGGCCCCTGGGCGGGAATGCCCCGAGTGACTGTGTGTGTGGGGGGGTGGGGGTGGGTGGGCGTGGTTGCTTCCTGAAGCAGCTCCAGCATTTACACTGCCGGAGCCAGGCCAATCGTGTTGTTCCCTCGATCGAAGACGGTAAAATACAACCTCAGGAAGACATCACCCAGAATCCAGGAGTCCGAGAGCAACAAGCCGCCTTTGCCTTCGTCAAAGTTGCTGTAGCAGGTGCCCTGATGATCCTGGAGGAGACAGAAACTCACCAGTCAGCCCGAGCCCTCACTTGCAGCCCTTCTCTGCTGGATCTCCCTCCTTTCCCGGGAGCCACGTGGCTCTCTGAGCAGCTGCAGAAGTGGGGTGCCCATGCAGGCACCAGAACTCTCTGCCGCTGTCCTCACACTCTGCCTTGTCTTTGCTGTGACTCACGCTCCGGCTGTTCCCTCTGCGGAAGATACCTTTCCTTCTCTCCTCACCCCCACCCGCTCCCTAAGACTGAGCTCAGCCCCTCTCTTGGCAGCCTTCCCGGCCCCACGCGGGCCCTCCGCGGCCACTCGGCAGCGTCTGCAATGGTGTGGCTTGGCCTCCAGGGGGCCTCCTCCTCCCGGCTGCTACCCCCCATTCCTGCAAGTCCCAGATTTGAGGACCAGGTCCCAGGGTGGGCTCCTCACCTCCCGGATGTAGGCACTGGCTGGCACTGAGTAGTTGATGCCGTTGATGGTGAAGACGATGTCAGGCAGGGTGCTGACGGCGTCACAGTCAATTATGTACTGTCAGAGAAAGAGCGAGAGAGAAGGTTGGCCCAGCCCATCCTTCTATGCCTGGAGAGCCCAGGGTGTCCCTGCGGCATGACCCGTCACCTCGCCACTGTAGGACTGCTTGGCATCGATGATCTTCTGTATGTTGAAGACAACGTCAGATGGGCCAATCAGCAACGAGGTTCCGGTATCAATAATGGCCTCGCAGCCACCATCACAAGCAATAACCATCTCGTTCATGGAGATGCTGAGAGACGGGGATAAAGCAGGTACCAGGGTCACACTGGGGGCTCCCTTCACTACCACCCCCTCCCTGGCTGACCCCAGGGCACCCTTTCAGCTCTTGCCTGACAGCTGTTTCCCCTTGTTCTGATCCTACTGACCTTCTTTGACTTCCTTCAGTTCCTGAATGTCCCAAGCTCTCTTGTGCCTCAGGGCCTTTGAATGTGCCGGTACCCCTTTCTAGAACCATCCCCACTCCCTTTGTCTGGCTAATTTCTCCTCATCTTCCAGGTCCCAGCTTCACTGTCACTTCTTTAGGGAAGTCTTACACCCAGACTCAGTCAGGCTCCTCTCTTGGTCACCTCGGCATACTTTTACTCATTTCTGGCATCTATCAAAGTGGTAAATTCACTATTTGTGTGACTTGTTTCATGTACATCTGCCCTGTTAGATGTACTCTGTAAGAGCAATTTCTATCCTCAGTTCCTCCCTCAAGTGTCCAGCACACAGCAGATGCTGAACATATGTTTGTTGAATGAATGAATGAACCAGTAAGTGAGGGAGGGACGAGAGACCTATATCTGGTGTCTGGCTCATTATGGGACCCACACAGTGAAGATGGAGGTTCTCATGGGCAGCAGGTGCTCAGAATGACAGGAAGGGAGTCACAGGCTGCTCAACCAGCTCCCAGCTCAGATGCCAGGGCCCCTGGCCAGACAATGCCTGAGCTAGCCCAGGGGGCAGGACACGGGCGACGGAAGCTTCCAAAGGACATTTTAAGCTTTTGTCTGCTGGTATCAGGACCTTGTCAGGAGGCGTGGGGCTATTAGAACCTGTGCGCGGTGTGTGTGTGTCCATGTGTCTGTGTGTGCGCATGTGTGTCCGTGTGCGGGCATCACCTGGGGCCACCTTCAGAGCGACGGGCTTACCTGTCCACGGACAACTGCCAGTAGAGGGCCTTGGACACGGGCACCCAGTTGAGCTCTCCGCTATAGTAGGAGTGGTCCACACCGCCGAACATCACCACACTGCCCTCCTCCTCCTTTCTGAGAGGGGGAGGGGGAAAGTGTTCATTGTGAGGGGAAAATAACCGGGAGGGGGGATTTGCTTTGTCTAAAGCATCGTCTAAAGACACGCTTCTCGTGGCTCACTTGTCCACACGTCACAAAGTCCCACGGAGTAGGCAGTCCTCTGCTCTCCATTCTACAGACAGGAAGGTTGGGGCACAGAGGGGTTGAGGCCTGGCTAATGGATGGTGAAGCTGAGTTCAAACCTGGACAGTTTGGCTGCAGGGCTGGCTCTGACCACCCCCTCTGCCAGTCCCTTTCGGCGATCAGAGCACTCGGCCATGTGGTCGGGGGACGTGCCAGCCAGAGAGGTCTGGCCTGTCCTCTTTCAGAAAAGCTGAGTGTCCGGGCTTACATGGGGTGCGGGCTGTGGGGCCCCATGCTCAGCAAGGTCCCACCTCTCTGCTGTCCCTGTCTTGAAATTCCTAATACTTGTAGAACAAGGGGCCTCCTATTTTCATGTTGCACTCTTCCTGCAAATTATGTAGAAGGTCCTAGGAGCACGCTGTTAGTGAGGGGGGCATGTCTCTGCTGACCCCTCTCCTTCCTTCCAGAGCAAATCTATGGGCAAATCTTGTTGCCCGTTCTTCCAACATATATCCCAACTCCTTCCATTGTTCTCCCTCTTCCCTCCACCTCCCTGGACCAAGCTGCCACCCTCTCTCTCCTAAAGAGTCTGCTGTAGCCTCTTCCCTGGCCTCCCTGCCTCCACTCTACTGCATCATTCTCCAGCACACAACCAGGGTGAGCTTTCGAAAATGGAAATTGGATCATGTCTCTTCCCTGCCTCACCCCTGCCAGAGGCCTCCACTCCCACGTGGTGCAGAACCCCAGGGGAACCTTGCCCCTGCCTCCCTGCCAGGCTCCATTCCCTCTCCCCTCCTCCCCCAGTGCTCCAGCCACACTGGCCCCCTCGCTGGGCCTCGGGTGCTCCTTCAGACCATTGCACGGGTTTTTCCCTCTGCCTGGGACTTTGCCTCCGCAGGCCGGCTCTCTCCCATCACAGAGGCCTCAGCTCTCAGGGGCCTTTGCTACAGCCCGTCTATAGCCACCTGCCTGGGCAATCTTGTGCAAAGCTTCCCTCTGAGCCTCAGTTCCCCCGTCGGTCAAATGAGGGACTTGGACTACAGGGGTCAGCAAAGTTTTCCTGTAAAGGGTCAGATCATCATGATTTTAGGCTTTGCCGCCTGCAAGATAGCCCTTGTGTCTGCTCCGCTCCGTGGTTGTAGAGCAATGGCAGCTACAGACGAGATGGAAACAGATGAGCATGGTTGCGTCTCAATAAAACTTTATTTACAAAAACAGGGGCTGGGCCAGATAGGGCCCCCAGGCCATAGTTTGCTGACCCCTGGATGAGGCTATCTCTCAAGAAACTTCAGGATCAAGTAGTCTACACTTTTTTCATGTAACTGGAAGCATCTTACAGCTGATTTGGACAAACAGCTCGTCCAGCCCAGACTTACTTGCTCAAGTAGAAGGCGAAGCGCTCCTCAGAAATGAGACCTTGTTTCCACAGGTTGTCGAAGATGGGGAGGGTCCCTCCGAGGCCGAGGCTGGGGTAGCCCAGGCCCAGGATGCCATCGAAGACTGCATATTCCATGAACTTGCTGGGTTCCCTCAAGCTCAGGCCAAATGCCTGGGACTCATCGACAAGGCCCCCGAACTGTGGGAGAAGAGGGTGTCACCAGGGAAAGGTTTGGTAAGTGGGGCTGGGCTGGGAGATGCCACTAACAGCAGAGAAAAACCAAGGTGTGGCTGTGCTCTTGGGGACCTCGGCTGGCTATGACAAGCCAGAACAGAGATATAGGTTCTGTGGGCGTGGACCCTGGGGATTTTAACCAACACCTGCTCCTCCTGCTGACGTTATCCCCCCCCGTTTTTTTACAGGTGGGGAAACTGACTCAGAGTGGGACTGAATTGTTTCCACTCGAGGACAAAAAGAATAGAGAGGAGGATAGTCTTCTTTTGGGCATGACTATGATCTGATGACAGAAATGGAGTGAATTCATTGCAATTGTGGATTCTATGTCCGCCCGAGGAGAGATGCCTGTTATACCACATGCCATCAGAGCTCTTAGGAAATTCTGCCTGGGGGTGCCTGGGTGGCTCAGTCGTTAAGCGTCTGCCTTCGGCTCAGATCATGATCCCGGGGTCCTGGGATGGAGCCCCACATCGGATTCCCTGCTTATCGGGGAGCCTGCTTCTCCCTCTCCCACTCCCCCTGCTTGTGTTCCCTCTCTCGCTGTGTCTCTCTCTGTCAAATAAATAAAGAAAA